CGCAAAGCTACACAGAGAAACCCTGTCTCGAAAACAAAAACAAAAACAAAAAAGAAAAGAAAAAGAAAAAGGAAGAGGTTCAGGATGGCCGGGGCAGTAACTCATAAACACTGTAAAACAGGCACCAAGACTCCAAGACTTGGGGTGCTCCCTGTACCCACGGCCTCAGATCTCTAACAGGTTCCCATCCCGGGTTTTCTTTTCAGCAAAACACTCTGAGTAGCAGCAGAGAAACCTAGAGTCGTCGCTGAGGTTTTTGAACACTGGGAATGGGAGGGGAAAACTCCCCAAACAGCTGCTAAGAAGAAAGGGGAGTGAATGAAGCCGGGCCTAGGCTCTGGAGGACACGCTCGGACCGTGGGAGGTGGAAGCGAGTCAGTATGAGGGTGCCCCTTCTAACTGCTGTGGCCCACACCCCCTGGACCCCAGAGCACCCCGTCATTTGTTCTGCAGTCCACTCCCCTACTCCTGCGCTGTGGCGGCTCCTTCCCCAGAGCCTCCACCTGGGCCAGCTTCTCCACTGCCCTCTGCTGGGCTGGCCGTCCTCCAGGGCCTGGATGCGCTGTGGCGGCTCCTCCACCTGCCCCAGCTTCTTCCTTGGGTTCTCGGTCTCCTTGGCTTTCTCTGGGGTGGCAGCTGGAAGGGCTGCCCGGGACCCGTGGAGAGCACTGGGTGCTTGGGGCCGCGTCCCCCAGAGACACCTTTTCAAGAGTCCTGCCTCCATCTCCTGTGGCTGCCTCCTCCTCTTCAGGTCGCCTGTGGCTGTCTTGGAGAGAGGCCTGCTTCACCTCCTTCAGGTCTGGATGGGGTGACGGGTGGCCTCTGGGCTCAGTCCCTGGGGAAGTTCTGGTTTACCCTGGGAAAACCTCACATACTTGTTTTCGTAGACGAGAACCTCCTCCTGGGGCACCTGTCCTCTGACACTCGGCCGCTGTGCCAGGCCCCGTCGGGTCTCTGTATTGAGGCTGTGTGCTTGCCTATTTTACTTTATCTTGCTTCCATCCTCTGGCCTTGATGATATCCCAGGGTGAAGTAAAAAAAGAAGCGCCGGGCGGTGGTGGCACACGCCTTTAATCCCAGCACTCGGGAGGCAGAACCAGGAGGATCTCTGTGAGTTCGAGGCCAGCCTGGTCTCCAAAGCGAGTTCCAGGAAAGGCGCAAAGCTACGCAGAGAAACCCTGTCTCGAAAAAACAAAAAACAAAAAACAAAAAAAAAGAAGGGAGACATTCCTACCCATCCTCATAACCTCAGGGATACTGAAGGATTCCATCACTGAGTTGGGTGGGCAGCCCTCATCAGGTCTGGCCCCTCGGATTCAGCTGCAAAGGGATTTCTTGCCCTCCCCTCTTAAATTTCTAAGAGTCTCTGCCCTAGTTAGTTCTCTAGAGAAAGAAGATTGGGAGACAGCCTGAGCCCAGGAGGGTCCCTAGAGGAACACACGGAGAGGAGAAGCATTGTGTCTAGGTGTATGTTATATTGAGACCAAGAGAAGGAAGCGTGATGGGCCTGCTTCCCTGGAGCCATGCTGTGGGAGACCTCATCCCACTCGCCTGGACTTTGTCTCCATCCTGCTCTATAGCCTTTTCCCTATGACCTTTGCTCTATGACCTTTGCTCCCTGGCCTTTGCTAAGCCATTCTCTGTTGAGATGCGAGGCACTCTGAGGAAGGTGTAGCTCTGGTCGCTCTGTGATGGGCTCCTCAGCCCTGGCTGGGACATTCCACCGTCGCTCTGGCCCTGACAACTCATGAGCCAAGAACGGGGCAGGGTGGAGGGACTCAAGAGATGGAGAAGGCTGACCCAGCGGGTAGGCTGAACAGTGATGTCGATGGTGGGATAGGAAGAGAGAAAAGGCCGTTGTCCTTAGCAACAGGGGCCATGATGAGTTAATGAACTCAGCCAGTGAAGAGACAGACATACAGCCTGTGCTGAGCTATCACGACACGCAGTCTTCACAGTTCCCTAACCCCTGTTCACTAGACCTTCTGTCTCTTCCTCGGCCTAAGAACCCTGGGGGCAATGATAGGTCCTGACCTGGAGCAGCATTGGCTGCTTTGGAAGAGAGGAGAGGTGATATTTAAGATGTACCATCCACAGGACAGGACCACACTCAAAGAGCCACATAATACCCCAAGAAGTACGTTTACCATTCCCACTTCATGGATGGGGATGTTGAGGATGCCCTCATTCGAGCCTAAGTGCCGGAGATCCTGGACCGATCTAGGGGACCCACCTGTATTTGGGGTCCCACCTCACCCCGAAGTCCCATGTTTCCAGGTCCTAATTGTCTGTTGTTAGGCCTCAATAGCCTAACAACAGGTAGGTTGTTAGGTAGGTAGACAAGTCCACACTCTTAAAAAACCCAGTTTCCTTCCCAGGCCCCCACCGTTGTCCTCTGCCTGATATTCCCATGAGGGTCTCTAAGGACCACAAACCAGTCTTTCTACCTTAAAACCATAGCTGCCCTCCTGGCCTGGAATGCAGGCTCCAGGGAATAACGTGGGCATTTCAGCAAATCCACAAGTGTCCTGGCCCCACTCTTTGCCATGGTAACCTGGTGCAGGGCAGGAGAAACCGTCCACGGAGGGCTCCTCCCTCGGTGGTCCATGGATGGTGGTACCGTGAGTTCTTCGGGTCTTTATTTGGAAGCCACCAGAGACATTCACGGCCTGTTGTCAACAAGCCGGGGGAAGAGACCCAAGGCAGCAAGGTCATGGTTCGATTTCCCAGCAAGAGTATGAGAGGGTAGGGAGTACCCCCCCGCCCCTAGAAGTGAGGAATGGAGGGTGTCTGAGGAGGGAGGCTCCTCTGTCCACCAGGACCGAGAAGGGGCCAAGTTTCTTCTTTTTAACAACGGAGGAACAGGGTGAGCGGGTGGGGTGGGAGAAGGCAAGAAGCCTGGTCGCATTTCCACCATCCTGCCTTCTTTCTAATGGGTGGAAGCTGCAGAGATTGGCATCGGCTGGCTCTCTTCACACAATAGACTGAGAGGTTCAAAGGCGCTAACACAATGACTTTTATATATTTAGAAATAGTCCCGCCCCCACCCCCCGAAGCAGAACATTTGTTTCTGTCCAAATAAATACGAGGCGAGAATGCCGCGCGGCTTCCTAGCATACAGGTGACGGTTGTGCAAGCGGCCTGCCCACCTGCGTGGGTGGGGACCTGCCCACAGCTGTCACCCCCGGCTCTTAACTCCTCTGGGCACACCCAGCTCATTAGGCCAAGGCCACACCCAGCTGTCCCACTCCTGGTTGAACCAGAATGCCAGGAGCCTAGGGCGGCCCCTTGAACTCCAAACAATGGGCGATGCTGTCGTCAAGCAGGGCCCAGGGCCTCGGGCCCCAGAGAGCTGGAGCCGGCCCTGAGATCCTCCCTCACCGTGCCAAGAAGAGGCCTTTGGGTCTTGCAAGATGGCCTGGGCCCCCTGTGCCTCCTTGGGAGCCCCAAGTAGCCAGACACCCCATCGGGAGTGGGGCTGTGCTCTAAGTAGTAAAAATAGACTGTCTGGAGCTGCCTCCCTGGTGGAGGGTGAGGAGAAGCAGACATTAGCTCACCCCTGCTCAATGTCCCCCCGGGGCAGGTAAGGGATGGGACTTGTTCCTGCTTTATAGCTGGGGAGCCCAAGCTGAGAGGATGGGACAGGCAGAGGGGAGGTTGTCAAGCCCAGGCCAGCACCTGTCCTGTACATGGAAAATACCTCTGCTGGCCAGGCCACTGCCCCTGGGATGCAGGACTGATGGGCCCTTGGAGTAGACTGTGTCTTGACAGTACGTGCGTGTGCGCTCACACGCACACACTCACCACACACACACACACACACACACACACACACACACACACACGCAGGCCTCTCTGCCCTACCCCCCTTCCAGGGCCACCACACCTCTCATCTCCCGAGGCCCTTTGGGCAGGGTCCCCTCCTTTGTGGCACTACCATCCTTCAGGCACTGTGTGGCATGAGGAAGGACAGGGTGTCTGGGCCCAACCCCACCTGGGAAGTACATCTCTCCCAGGCAGTTCTGCTAACTCAGGACAAACCGGATTGGGGGTAGGCGCCTAGGCGGTGACACACGGATATTTGTAGAAGCTCCTGGACGTCTGCTCCCGTGGCATTGGGAGGTGAGGGTGGCAGCTGTCTCGGCCTGGTCACGAGACTGTTCAGAAGGCCAACATAGAGTTATGGGCGGCAAGCTAGATGGTATAGAATCTGTATAGAGAGTCAAGGAATGCCAGGAAGAGCCTTCATGTAGGCAAGAGATGCAATGGCCTGAACTCAGCCACTGACTATGGGGGGGGGGGGGCTCCCTCCTGGCCTTGTGTATCATTGAGGGGCTGCACTTAATGAGATCCTCTCTCTTCATGAGCCCTCCACTGTCACGAGGCTGTGTGTTCCCCGACTCTCAGCCCCTCCTTGCTCCTCTCAATAAAATCCACGTGAATTGGGGATGAGAATGTATTCTAAACAAGAGGCTGGGCAGGGCGGCGGGTGTGTGTGTGTGTGTGTGTGTGTGTGTGTGTGTGTGTGTGTGTGTGTGTGTGACGGCGGTGGTGATGAGCAGTGGCTGTGCACCTTCAGACCAGGTAGCTTTGGGGCCTCAAGAGAGGAGAGAGGGAGAGAGGGGCTGGCGAAGAGCCAGGAGAGCCCGTTCCAAACCCACCTCATAAGGCTGGCCCCGTTCACCCGGGGTCTCCAAAGCCAGGGTGGGACACTTGGGCTCAGAGTCCTCTCCTGGAGACAGGGCAGGGTGGACACGAAGAGATGGGTCACAAGGGCGGGAAGAGTGAGCACTGTCCTTGGGGGCCTCGGGGTACCAATGCCTTCCTTAAAGCCAACTCTACTACACACAGTCATCCTTAGCAGGGCCCAGGATAAAGGCATGCCGGTACGTTCCTTTATTTCCCATCCAGTCGGGTTAATTATTTGTTCAGGCTGGTTAATTATTTGCAGAGTATATTTGTGTTTTGGTTTACAAAGTATATTTTGCCCCATCTGTGACTTCATTTGAGCATCAGAACAACGCACTAGGAATGCCTTCATTTTATGACAAGCTAACTAAAGTTCAGCTCGCTTCAGGGATCGGTATGAGTCACTTTTTCAGTCTTAGCCGCTACAACAAAATAGCCAACAAGGGCAAGGTAAGGAAGGAAGGGTTTCTTTGGGCTCAAGGTTTGACGGTACAGTCCTTTGTGGCCACCGCAGGGAAGGCGGGGTGGGGAGGGAGGCTCTGGCTGTGCCCGCGGGGGCTCGAGGTCACTGTTTAGGCGCTGGCACTCGATCTACTCTCTCCCTTTTAGTGGGTTCGGGAATCAGTGCTGTAGTTTTTTTTTGACAACTTGATGCAAACCAGAGGAATCGCCTCCATCAGATTGGCTAGTGGGCGTGTCTATGGGGTATTTCCTTGACTGCCGGCTAATGTGGGGAGGGCCCAGGCCGCTGTGGGTGGTGCCACCCATGGGCGGGTGGTCCTGGGGGGCTATACAGCAGGCTGAGCGAGCTGGGAGGAGCAGGCCAGTAAGAAGCACTCCTCCGTGGTCTCTGCCTCAGCTCCTGCCTCCAGGTTCCTGCCCTGACTTCTCTCTGTGATGAACTATGACCTGGATGTGTAAGATCAAAATAAACCCTTTCCTCCCCAGGCCGCTTTTGGTTATGATGTTTATCAGAGCCACAGAAAACAAACTGAGTCATCCAGGGTAGTTCTTCCGTCTGCAGTTACAGCTCTCTAGATACTCCTCACAGAAACATCCAAAAGTGTGTCTCCTAGGTGATTTTAGGTCTATCTAGAATGACAGTGAGGATTCACCATCCCACAGTCCCAACCTGGATGTGGTTAAAAAAAAAAAAAAAAAAAACAGGCCTGGAAATGTGATGGTTAAATACAAGTTACCAGACACTGCATCACTCTCTCCAAGACTGGAGCCCTGGAACTACTCCACCAGGGTCCATACAGTGGGATAAGGCCCTGTCATACATAACAAGGGTATGAAGTCCACTCTCAGAGGGGTCTGCAAATCTGCCGTGTGGTTGCCCCATGCCCATGTGTGGATCCACAGAAACCCAGTACAGCTCTCCCCTGGAGGTGGAGTTCTCTGCGGCGACACTTCATGACAAATCCTCTTTAAGTAAGAAAGCTATCACCTGCCTTCAAATACCTGAAAAGCCACGAAAGCCAGTAGTCATCTGGGAGCCAAGCAGGAAGCAGATGGGTCAGCACAAGGGCAGCTTGCTGGTCACGGGACCTGCCTGAGGATGTTTCAGGCTGCTTTGGAAGGTGAGAACTTCCCATCCACGGACAGTTCAAACAAAGGCTGAGAAACATTGTGCCTGGGAATGTTATAGAGGAAATTCAACGGTGCACAGGTGAGTGGGAGGAATGAGATGTGTGGCATTCATGTGTTTTCATACCAACAGCCGATGCCTAAAATGAGAACTGGTTCTTCTGTTGGAGGCCCTGATGTCTGTCTATGAGTGCTCCACCGGAGAAGGCTGGAGATGCTCCTGCCTACTACCTCTAGTTAAGAGATTAAGACTAGAGATGAGCTCCAGAGGCGGAAGCAGGAGGATGTCTGTGAGTTCGAGGCCAGTCTGGTCAACAGAGTGAGTTCCAGGACAGCCAGGGCAGCACAGTGAAACCCTGTCCCGAAAAACAAAGCAAAATAAAAATAGAGATGAGAAAAATAGGTCCACAATAGAATAGTGGGTAGTGTGTGTGTGTTTTTTTTTTTTTTTGTGTGTGTGTGTGTGTGTGTGTGTGTTGTTGCTGCTGAGCTACAGCAGGCTATCCCGACAAAGATGTGTGCTCCTAACGCTGGATTCCTCTGAGGGATGAATGCTCCAAGGCAACCGTTCTCTGTCCTTTCTGACAGGAAACTAGGACATCCCCACTGATTGGCCGGCCAGCCAGAGAGACCTGCCTAGGCCCCGAGAGTAACTGTGCCCTTTGCCACCGTGACCAGGATGCACTGTTAAGACGGAGCAGAGGTTGGTCTCACCTTGGCCAGGGTTGCTGGCCAGCCATCTGCCTGCAGGATTCAGTTGGCCAGGTCACCGAGTGATCATTCTTCCTATGCAATCTCGCCCAACCAGATCTTCCTCGTGGAGAAGAAGAAGCATTCTCTTGAGACATGCGAGCACCTGGTGCATTGCAGGATATTTGGATGCGCTGTGAAATCCCGAGACTATGCTAATAAAATTAACCTTGGTTTATGGGGCAGAGCCAGAGACCAGCTGACAAGAATTAGCCACAGAGAGGACAGAGGACCCAGGGAGACAGAGAGAGAGACGCACAGGAAGGAGTAGGGAAGGATTTAGAGATTCTCGGTCTTCTTGGTGTGGGTTATGTGGAGAGAGACGCACTTGCTGGATCTCCAGTTTAATAAAAAAGAAAAGTCAGCTGGTCGCTCCTCCTCCTCTGTTTCTTTGATCTATCGGGTTTTCACCCCAATATCTGCCTCCCGGGTCTTTACTGGTAATAGAACAACTTAGATCAAAACACCATTGGAGTCCAGAGTCTAGTATTTGGATGGAGAAATTTGACAGTAGCATCCCAACACTGCCCGCGTGACACCTCACACTGGGTTCCACGACAGTGGACCAAATCCACGTTCCTTGAGAAAGCCTTCAGGGCTGTGCTCCATGGTGAATAGAGGGGGAGACTCCATGTCCCCCAGGCCTCTGTTTCCACTTCATTTTCTCTCATTTCCTCCTCCATAGGCATGCCCGACCAAGCATAGGGGGGTGAATGACTGAGTCCCAGAGTTCTAAGAGTCCTGGAAGCCAATCCCTCCTTCTGTAATAAATAACCATTGAGCACCTCTGCACCCCCCCAGCCCCCCCCCCAAAAAAGACAGAAGAATGGTCAGAGTCATGCCTGGTGGCACAAGCCTGTGATCTCTGGGAGGTCCAGGGCAGGCGGATCCCAAGTTTAAGACCCTTACTTATAAGGTAAGTACAAGGCCAGTTTAGTCACATTAGTAAAAAGCCTGTCCCATTTAAAAAAAAAAAAAGATGTAAAAAGAGCTAAAAAAAAGGGTGTAGCTCAGTGGTAGAGTATTCCCTTAGCATGTGCAAGGCCCTGGGCTTAATTCTCAGTACTGAAGGTGGGGGAGGGGAGGGAAAGAGGAAGAAAAGAGAAAATACAGTTTCTGGACACGGCTCAACTCCTTACTGCGGTGCGAATTTTGCCAAGAAACTTAACGAGTTTGTGACTCCATTTCCTTCTGGATTCTACTTTAACGAGTTATTGGAACCATTGAATACAATAATCCATACAGAATAGGCAAAAATGTTCCCCTGAAAGTTGGGGGCTGGAGAGGTGGCTCAGTGGTTAAGAGCACTGGCTGCTCTTCCAGAGGACCCGGGTTCAATTCTCAGCACCCATGTGGCAGCTCACAACTGTCTGTCACTCCAGTTCCAGGGCTTCTGACACCCTCACACAGACAGATATACAGGCAAAACACCAATGAACATAAGATAAAAACAAATTATAAAAAAAAATCATACACTGAAATACCAGCCCTCCCTCAGTAAGGAGCTCATGATATGATGTTTGGAGATAAGACCTTTTAGAAAGATGATTAGGGGAAAAGGCAGCCATCAGGGTTGACCCTAATCCAACCTGACATGTGGGCAGAGGAGAACAGCTGGGGACCCACACGGATATAGAAGACCATGAGACTGCCAGGAACAGACAACAGCTGCCTGCAAACCAAGGAAAGACGCTGTACAAGATCCCCACTCACACCCTGACTCTGGATCTCCAGTCTGAAGAACCACGAGATGATGAGTTCTGTGGTTTAAGTTCCTAGCAGCAGCCTTAGACGACTAATATGCCACATGAAGCACCATAACATACCCAGCACATGGTATTCAGTTGACACGAATCCCTGTCATAAACAGGACGGTATCTCAGCACTGTATCAGATTCCTGTTGCTGCTATAACAAATTACTGAGAGTGTCCTGGCTCCCAAGTCTGCAAATGTATTGTTCTGTAGCCACTGGGCTAAAGTCAGTGTCATCTGGCGTCCTTCCTTCTGGGGGAACCAGGAGAGCGGCCATGCCCTTGCCTCTCCCAGCATTTGAGAATGCCTGCATGGCTTGGCCGGCGACCTCCTCCTCTAACCTCCACAGCAGCCATATTCAAATGCATCCTTCTTTGGTTCTTCTCTCCTATGAAGACATCAGATTCACCCAGATAATCTAGGACAGCTTCCCACCTCAGGAGCCCAAATCCAATCAGCCATGCAAGAGGACACAGTCACAGGTCTGCAGGAGCGGCATGGGCACATGTTTGGGGGACATTGCGCTGCTTGTTCATGAATGTTATTATAATCTCTATGAGACAGGGTCTCGCTGTGAAGCCCAGGCTGGCCTTGAACTCATGGCGATCCTCACGCCCAGGCATCCTGAGTATTGTGCCATTATGCCCCAGTTTCCACTCACTATTATTACAAGGGGGGGAAAAACCCAGAAGACAACAAATATAGATGAATATCCTGCATATGAAATACTAAATAATCTGTGCAGAGAGAAAACACAGAGCAAGGGGGAAGGGGGAGGGAGGGGGAGGGGGAGAGAAAAATGGAGGGATAGAAGAGAGAGAAACAATGGTGGGTGAATATGACAAAGCATGAGGGAATGTCTACATGAAAATATCATAATGGAAAACATCAGAACAGCCATTGTTTTTATATGTTAACTAAAAATCAAGTTAAAAAAGAAAATATGCAGGTGTGTTGAAGAGAGAAATAAAAAAAATGAGCAGAGTTCTTTGGAAAGGGGAGAGAGGAGGAGAGGGAAGGGGAGAGAAGGAGGGAGGGAAGGAGAGGGAGGGAGGAAAGGAGAGAGAGATAAATAGCACTAAGGCTGTTTGAAGAAAACATACTATTTTATGTTTATGAAAATAATTATAACACATATGTTATGATTATATATAACACACACATACGCAAAGTCTGAATGAAGTTGTGCTACTTGGGGTGATGATGATCCCCCCAAAAGCACAGATCAACAGACATCCCAGTGCCAGGCATGTGAAACCTCTCCTCCAGTTCTTGGTCAGGTCAGTCGAAGATATCCCCAAAACAATATAAGCTACTGATGTTGTCCTTGGCTGCCTTCCAGAACTTGAAGGTCAGACCTATTGCTGAAGACACCACATGCTTTGGACACAGGACTTGGAGGAATCGAGCTGGACCTGACCTGGAAGCCTCCTTCCTCCCTGAGAACTAGCTCTCACGCTATCCCAACAAGCTCTGTAAGCTGCCGAGGGGGAACAGCAACCGATCCTCCTACCCAGCTCTAATGTCTACAAACTGCAACAAAGAGCAGCCCATAAGCTACCACAAGGATGCCATCGTGGTACTTACAGCCAAAAGCCAGCTAAGTGGATTTTAAGGCTCACGTAATAGGAGGGAATTTGTGGTACAATGAACCCTGCCAACTACTTGCGACTAGTGGGTCATGGACCTAGAGGAGAACCTACTTTCCTAAACCAGTATCATTTCTAAATACATATCCTTATACTCACAGGCATGTGTGTGTAGCTCTTACCCCTCATTAAAGACACTTCTTTTTGCAGCAGATAAAGACCACTGGGCTATCCAACCCCAACCTACAACATAACTCCTACACCTAAGGTTCAGTGAATACCCCCAAAGAGGGGATGTAATGATTGTTAACACCGGACAACCAGAATCTCTGCTGTGAGATAGTGTGCCCTACCCACGAAATCTCAAAAAAAAAAAAAAAAAATACGGCCGCCTAACCGAGACCTACACCCTGACACCAGCGGCTGACCTGCTGTCATGGATCGAGCAAAGCTCACAAGGCCCTGCCCACCGCCGCTAGAGCTAAAATTAGTGGCGGCTGAGAGGGAAAACCTGTCTTCCCCAAGAAGGAGTTCCCTGATAGGTGATCTGGTCCCAAACAACCAGCCCTAAACACACGTACATACAAGCAACACCAAATAGACTCGGCAGGCTGTGTGTGTGTGTGTGTGTGTGTAATAACAAATGAAAAGAGGACATGAATTTGAGAGGGCGGGGGAGGAGAAGAGAGGCGGAAATGGTGGAAACTCAGTGCTCACACGTGAAACTGTCAACCAAAATACACAGAAAGAAAAATACTAACAAAACCACACCCTGGTATGTTGGGGGAGGGCTTACATTCTTGTTTATTTTATTTTTTTTCTCTCTCTCTGTGGGACAAAAATCTCATAGGTAGCCCAGGCTGGCCTTGAACTTGCTATGTAGCCAAGAATGGCTTCGAATTCCTGATCCTCCTGCCTCTACTTCCCAAGTGCTGGGACTGTAGGTGTGTGCCACCACATCTGGTATTTATTCATTTTTTAAAGCTTTTTTTTTTTTTACAATATACATATAATCATGGATTATAAAATATCTAATTTTTAAAGTTTAAAAAATATCCAAATTTTTAAAAAAGAAGGCGTGTATCCATCCCTCCCAGGGACTCTCAGGCTAGGGTGGGGATAGGACGTGAATCCACAGTACCAGCAGCTCCTAGGAAACATTCTAAGAAGTGTGGGCAGAGCTCTGTGGTGGCTGGGCAGGGGACTCACTGTCTGGGAAACCCCAAAAGGCCTTTGAAGCCATTAGCGATTCTGGAGAACTCTTACAAGAAGGTCAAGCCGGAGGAGAGTAATGCCAGTGACCCCAGCAGGACAAACAAAAACAACCTGATGTCCTTCATCTGCCGCTGTGGGTGGAGTAGAGGCTGGGGGCCGGAGGTGCGGAGCGGCCGTCCCAGCCCCAGGCAGAGTTGAACACACAAGACAGGGCAGCTCGCGCCTGCGGAGAGGCCAGTGCCAGGCCCCCCGGGCCCGGTGGGTGGATAGGTGATTTCTTCTTAGATGTAAGTGAAATTGGGTGGGGGTGGGGGAGGAAGAAGGGCAGGAAAGATGGTGGCTGAGGAGGTGCGGTGGGGGACGGCTCCTGGATCGTCCAGTGCACACAGGCGAGGCATGAGGATGCAAGGAAGGAGGGTCAAAGCCTGTGACAGACAGTACCTTATCACCCCACCCCAAATGTACACACATGTCTGGGCTTCTCCCCTGCTCCCCCCGCCCTGCCCGGGTTCCCACTTCAGCCCCCCTACAGGAGGATCTCAGGCAGCCTAGTGGGACTCGGGTGCCAAGGAGCTGCCCTAGTGGCTTGACCCCAGACCTGGTGCCCCAGGGCAGGCGAGGCATCTCCAAGCGGTGACCAACAGCAGCTGGCCAAAGAGCAGGCCCGGAACATCCTGGCAGTGCCCTTCAAGGTTAAGTATACAGAGTGGGCAGAGCCTGACGCCGCCGCAGGGAAGCAGGTGTAGATTT